ACTAACGGGCTGCAAGAATTTCCGAAATAAAATCAAAGATTTCTTTTGTACTTCTCTCAATGAAAGTTTGACTAAATGAGTGACCAAAAAGAGAAACACTGCCATTGCAGCGAGGCTGCGGGATTTCAGCACGTGAAATGTCCAATGAGAACAATTTGATCATTTTTCGTCAGGGCAAACATGAATGGATGATTGGCAATGAATTTGATGTGTGCTCCTTGCCAGAGCGTCCTTAACTGCTCATCATTTTGCAAATTCTCATTGCTTCTGTTGACCGGGAATGAGCCACTTTCGTTAATCTGAAGCAGTGGGAAATTTCATTTTGTTCATTACGTACTTTTGACAAGTTAGGTCAAGTGACACACTTAAAATCTTAAATGAGTAAATTTAAATGCCTTAACAATTACTTGAGTCTGGCCAATTGGACTAATTCAAGTACTTGTAATACTTATAATTCGATACTTATAATTCAATTGATTCCAGCTGGATACCTATAATTCAATTAATTCCAGCTGGATTACTTAATTTAATTTAGCAATAAATCATCTAGCATTGTATAAGTACACTACTGACGAACTACTTAATTTAGCCGTTTATTCAAACATTTAAATGACCCTTGTCCAGCTAATGCGTGTATAGGTTTGTCCAAGGGATATTTGTTCAAAAAAGTTCAAACGATTTTTATCCGGAGAAGGTTATTCTTAAGATCCCTCTGATCGACAAAACGAAACCCTGGATAAAATGCACTCGGAACACAAAAATACACACACGTACACGCATGTACACACGCGCAACACACACACACAAGTATACCGTGGGTCGTCACAATATTCGTTTTTGCAATTACATATTATGCAAAAACGCATGAATATAGAATCGCAAGTCTCGTATTCAAAGGAAGGCAAATCCGAGCATGTGGGAAATAAGTTGCGGCGTCTGTCAGGGTAGTCGACGCGACTATGAGTTTTGCGTGGTTCCATCCGGCGAACATTTGCTTTGCTAAGTTTTTTCACTGCTCTGCACTTCGGCCTGTGCAAAAATAATCGAAATGCTGACTGGTTCCTAAGTTGCGAAATTTTCCACCAAAAAGTTCATGTACCGATGCGTCTAACGCACGTGAAAACTGAATTTGAAATCTTGGACGGTGAACATACAATCAAAATTTCAACTTGCTAGTTTTCTGGCTTCGACTGATTACCGCGCCAAAACTTTCAAGTGATTGTAGATGAAAGCTTGACATATTTGGGAACTAAACATAGATTCGTGGGACCCCTGCATTGGCAAAAAACATCCTCCTGGAATTTTTACCGTCCTAGCTCTTCTGACTTCTGAAATAATAATTTCCCCGTCAAAAATTTCGCGAGTTTGTACGTAGTACTCAAGCGCCGACGAAGGCTGGACTTAAATTTGCGGAGTCACACTTGGGCGTGAAACATCACCCTGCATTTTCAGCCTCCTAGTTGGAATAGAAGAGTAGAAGAATTTCACTTGAATGTTATGTGTTTGAAGACATTTTATGACGT